CCGGAAATAAGGGGTACCTTAATTTTGGAGCCCTTCTAATAAGGATCCTACTATTTGGGGTACTACATTAGGCTCCCCTGTTTTCGGAAACCCCCTTATCTTAAGTTTAGGGTTTGGCGGAAGCTTCATCGGTGGATTCTTCAGAAATGGTTGGATAACTTCAGGGTGTCAGGTTTTAGGGCTCAAATGTTCAGGTGAAGCTTGTGATTCAAAGCCAAAGCATAACCGGTACATACCGGTACCATCCGGTACCAAACCCGACACAACCTCCCAAGCCCGTCGATGGCATCCAGGGCATCAGAAATCTTGCCCTCCGAAGCCTAAGCATACAAGTACCCCAAACCGAGTATAAGAGTTATCTGGGATCTTAAGCTCTTCTATTTGGGTGTTAGGGTACTCGATCCTTTCAGGAAGGCAAGAGCCACATGAATTCCCCTGGCAATTTGCGTGCAGCATCAATGGCGTGTCGGCGTCGGGAAGGACAAGGGCTCCGGGCGAAGAGGGTTTAGGGGGGTAACTTATTCAAGTTTTCAGGCTCCGGAATGCGATGTGCATGGGCTCTGAATGCCAAGCCGGCGACGATGAGGCGACGGTCCTGAGGACTCATCCAGTGATTTGGCATGCAAGAATTTACAGGGATTTGGGTGGAGGCATCGGGAGGCAGAGCAGAGACAAATCAATGGCAGAGCCCAGCACCTAATTCCTCGGAGACTTGCTGTTCTCTTTTGCAACCAATAGATCACCCTGGGCACACTCAACGAGACCCTTGCACCCTGAACACCCCTGGACCGCCGAGCCCTAAACCATCCTGCCATAGGGCTGCTTTAAGGCTCTCTGTAGTTATGGGCGGTTATAGGGTTCAATATTTAGTCGGGTTTCCAGGTTCTTGTGTTGAGGCAACTTCTCTGTCTTCCACCTTCTTTCGGAGGACTACCACAAACTGCTCTAAAGCGAGTGCTCTTTGGGTTTTCTGAGCTCGATTTCAGATGGAAAGGCAAAGACCCGATCGTCGAAAACGGAACCCGAAACGTGGTTCATGGTTTCTGCCATTCGAAACCACCTCAAGCAAAACCTGAAATGAGCCCGGAAGCACAAGCGCCGATAACTCCCAAACCCCAAAACTTGAATCCCCTGAGGCCATCACCGTTATCGTGGCCAGCGTCGAGGGTCGCCTGTACAAGCGATGCAGGACCTCCTTCTCTCGAACACCGAAAGAATTAGGGTTTAGGGTTTAGGATCCAGTGATTTCAATGCGCTTGACAGGATTTTGGTATGCTAGGTTGCCCAGTAGCCCCTTAAGAATAGAGAGAACCTTTTTTCATACTGTTTGGCTTGAATAGAAGGACACCAAAAAGAACATGTGCAAACGGGTACTACTGGGGAACAGAGTTATAGGTCAAGATATCTTACCCAGAGAACTACCGTTATGGAATTAGGTCTAAGGCCAAGCAAAGTGCAAAGGAGTGGGAGTCTGTCAGTCGGTTTATAGGATTTAAGGGCTGCGACTTAGGATCTAAGGTTTAAGGTTTAGAGTTCGGGATTTAAGGCTTAGGGGCTTCGGGTTTAGGGCTTGGGATTCTAGGCTTTTGTCTCTGCAGCTGGGTCGGAAAGCCCCGTTGAAGGGATCTTTCCTGGGGCTACGCTGGGGTCTGCCCGAAGGCTGCCGTGGTGGTTATAATTTTACATGGGCTATAACTAAGACATGGACAGGGGTCGTTGTGTAAGGAGATACTATCGAGCATGCAGCTGCAGGTGGAAGCCACAACTGAAAACAGAACCTAAACCCAGAACCCCAAAATGAAAATAAACAAACACTCCGAACCCTAGTTATAATTGAAGAGGCCCTGCTATAGGGGCCTTGTAATAAGAACATGGTTTCGGGGTCCGTCATGCTAAGTATATTTAGGACCCCTGCGGCAACCGCAAGGAATAGCATTCTATTCAGGCCCCCTAACTACATTATTGGGACAGAGAGTCCAGGATTTGGGGCTTACGGCTTGGTTTAGCAGAGGGCAGACACATGCGCCCTCAGAGTGGAGGATGAGGGCATCAGGCTGCCGGATTTAGGTCACACCCCATAAGCCAAAACCCGCATCTACCACATTCCGAATCCTGGAACCTCAACTTCCGAATCCCGGAGTCCATAAAACCCTGTGAGTGTAAGTCTAAATCCTAAACCCTGGGTAGTTCTCTGGGGTCCTTTCCTAAGGGTGCCATACTATACCCCTGATGCGCCTGCATATTTCTTTACAGCGAAGCTCCGGCCTCAGGTTCCGCGCACCACGCCGATGCGGAAACCAAGCGCGAAAGACCTTCTAGGAGGCCCCATGCTGGGAGGATCGGGGGGACTTAGTAATTGGGTAGAAACGTAGACCTATAAGTATCCTAAGAGGATCCTAACTGGGGCTGTGATATTTACAAGCCTGTGAAATGGGATCCTAACTGGGGTTATGCTATTCGTAAGTCTGTGAAATAACTACTTACTGCTTACTATGTCCCCCGACCCTCCAAGTAGAACCTGATTCTATCCTGGGTTTCTATACAGTAAGGGTTCTTCGAAGGATGATGTAAGGGTGCTGCAAGGTTGGAACACTGAACACCGAATTTTTGGGTTCCTATGGGCTGGTAGTAAAACCGTGTCGGACTTTTGATGGAGATCTTTCTAAGGCTTCTAAAGCCTTTGGGGCCGAAGACCGGAACCCAAAACCCCGAAACCCTAACCCTCAACCCCTCAAGCCCAACGAACAAACTAACAAACCAAATACCTACAGCCTACATCCTGAACCCCAAAAAAACGAACAAAATCAACACATACACAGCATTTACACCGAACGTCTTAACCCTTCACCGCCCGCCTCTCCCCACCCTACACCCTACACCCTACACCCTAAACCCTAAACCCCAACCCTAAACCCCCTAAGCCCTAAACCACGGCCTCTTCCTCGAAGAGGCAAGGACCCCAGAGGAGGCGTTCCTCGGGAGCCAGGACGAGGCCCCACCTGAGGACTCACAGCTTGCTTCCTTATTAGAGAGTTTAGAGCTTATAGGGTTTATGGCTAGCTCTCAAAATTATGATCTCTTTTTAGGTCCCCAATATAGTACGGCACCCTTACAAACGGTACTCTCCTTATTGGAGAGTTGGTGTATAATGGTTTATAGGTGTTTCGAGTGTTTACGGGTTTGCAGCCCCCGGGTTCAGAGACTTGGAAGAGCAGCTGGAGCAAAATTTTGGGGCAGCACTGGGATCGACTCCGGCTTCAATTGTGTACCTAGTGCATCCGTAACCGGTTTAGGACTTCGAGGGCATTCGGAGAGAGGGTTACTGTGGGAGTGTGGAGTTTCAGGATGCAGGGCCCTCCGCCGACAATCTCAGTGTAGCAACGCGGGCTACAAACACCTGTAATCCGTTCGTCTGTTTGTGGTATGGTCGTGAAGGCAAGCCATGCCAGGGTCATGCCAAGGCAAAGCCCCCCACTGAGGAGTGGTGTTCGTTCCTTGTTCAGTGTGTGTGTGTGTGTCTTCCTTGCGCCGCTTCTTATTCCTTCGGGTCTCATGGTTAAAAACCCCTAGACCCTAAACCCAGTTCTACTGAGCATGAGGTAGGTCCAGTGGCTCAGGGGGTTCGCACCCCAAAGCCTGAAACCGAAACTCGAAATCCCCAAGCCGGCTGAGCCAGAGGCTTCTCCGCGCGTGTTGCGCCTCACAGTGAGGCATGGGCAGTGGGTGAGGGCTTCGGGGGGGACGGGGTATCAGGAAATCTCGTATGCCTGGCCAGAGGGTGTTGCATTTTTGACCAGAGTTCGAACATGACCACCTAAAACCACAGCTTTCAACCCCAACAATACTTACATTATATAAATACGGATCCTAAGACAAAAGCTCTCCCCTTCCGGCTTGTCTACCAAACCCTAAAGCCTTAACGGAAAACAAAACGTACACCCAACATCTGCACCCTAAACTGAACCACAAATCCTCTTATAAAACTCTTATGAAGTTTGCTGTAAACTCTTCATGTAAACACACATAATCCTCTAAACAACACCTATGAGACCACCTCAAGTCTGGCAAGAACCCGAAAACCCAATACCCCATAATTAAGGAATATATATATATATACCTGAAGTCATAATATTAAGGCCCCTATAGTTTGAGGTATATTCCTTAATCAAGGGGTATTGGGTTCCCTGGGAAGCCCAGGTTGCTGAGATCGCAACTGAAGCGGAGGATCCCTTCGTCTTGCTGCTCGCCTTGGGGAGCCTCGGTGTAAGCAGTCAGATGCAGTTTAAACCGGGTTTAGGGTTTTGGGTTTAGGGTAGAGGCAAGCAGCAAGAGTCAGGAAGACACAAAGCCTGCTCGCAGTTGTGTAAACTGTGCTTGCTGCTATGTGTGTCGGCAGGCTGCATGCATAAAGGTGTTGCCAGCGTGCCTTTGGCTGGTGCTGTGACTATGTGACTCCATGTCAAAACCTCTCAACCCCAAACCGGTTCTCCTCAAGGCACTGTCAGGCACTCTCTCGCCACCCTAGAACACTAGCTACTTTGAGGCTGTATACAGTAGTCACTAGTTGGGTACATGAACCTCTAGTTGTACAGAATCTGATTAGTCCAAGTTGGCAGGTCGGACAAACACATCTGGTTCAATCGCATCAAACACAGAGACTGGGATAGAACATCCGAAGCTACTCTTGACTCAGGCAGATGCAACGCATGGTATTGTGTGGGCCTTGGAGCTTAGCAAAACCCGAAGAAGCACATTCTCATAGGGGGCAGTTTTGCTGTGAGCGTAGGCTTGATCGTTGCTGGGGATTCCGGGCTCATAGCTTCATTCAGCCCTGGCACATGGCATCTTGTTCTGGAAGGAATGTGCGGCTGACTCCTTTTTCCACATAAGTCTGCAATGCGGCCAAAGATGAGACAAATTCTGCGCCTCGGGCTCAGCATGCGCCTCAGTTTTAAGGTGTATATAATGTCTGATCCCCCTAAACCCCAATCCCTAAGCCCTTAAACCCTATCCCACTCTGGTGGCACGCGACACTTACCGAACCTGGCGTCTCCAAAACAGACCAGCTGACCGTTCATCCGCAGGGCACACGTGTGAAGATATCCAGCCGAGACCGCGACAACCGGGCCTAAATCGGCCGGTACATCGCACTGTCCGAAGCTGTTCCGCCCAAAACAAACAAGCTCACCATCAATCTTCACAGCACAGGTGTGGGAATTGCCGGCGGAGACTGCTGCAACCGGCCCCAAGTCCGGTGGCACCTCACACTTACCATCCGAGTTGCTTCCGAAGCAGACCAGCTGACCGTCTAACCTCACGGCACAAGTATGCGAGTACCCTGCAGACACTGCCATAACAGGTCCCAGGTCTGAGGGTACGTCGCATCGGCCATTCGCCTGTTTCCCGAAGCACTTTAAGCCAAAATCGTCCTCGCTCACCGCGCAGGTGTGGGAGTATCCCGCAGAGACTGCTGCGACTGGCCCTAGGTCTGCTGGCACTTCGCACTGCTCCTCCAAGTTATGCCCAAAGCAGACCAGCTGATCATCCGCCCGTACCGCGCAGGTGTGCAAGTATCCGGTTGAGACGGCCACGACCGGGCCCAAGTTCGGCGGCACCTCGCACTTGCCAAACCTGTTGCATCCGAAGCAAACCAGCTCCCCATCGCTGCTAACGGCACAGGAGTGGTCAAAGCCTGCGGAGGTGGCCACAACTGGCCCCAAGGCTGCCGGCACATCACACTCGCCGTCCGAGTTGCCTCCAAAGCACACGAGACGACCATCCGACTTTACTGCACAGGTGTCTAGATAGCCTGCAGAGACTGCCATCGATGGTCCGTGGCCGGTTAACAGCGTCTGCATCGCCGCGAAAAGCTTCTTTGCGCAGCCTAAGATGCTGCGTTTTCGCACGGGCTGCCTGATACGAAGCAGGCGCCAGCCATCTAAAACTTCCGCAGGCCCCCTGTTGCGCACAAATCCACGGAGCTGACCAGAGACCATTTGGCACTGAGGCGGCTAAGGAACGGGTGCAGGCTTGGGCGCAACAGGCTGCAAGGGATGTTGGCCCCTCCTGACGGCTCAGAATCCGCAAGCCCGAATCCGAATCTGAGCTCTTCAACACTTAAACCCGAAGACACCTGTGTACGTGGTTGAAAGCTCCGAAGAAACTCCAGGCAACGGAAGATCCACACTTACTCCAAGGATCAGGGGAAGTATGGTTAGGCCACCACAACCCTCCATACTGAACCTGGGGACCCTTGCACAAATTAGAAGATATAGCTGCTTCTGAAAGACAAACACAAAGCGGCAATCAAGGACACCAGGACTTTTCCCCAGAGAGGAGCTTCAGGAGAAGCGCCCCATCAGGTTTGTCCTATGTTAGCCGAGCCCTAAACCCTGCACCATAGATCCGAAAAAGCTCTTCAAGCCAAATCATGCACTCAATAGCCTGGGTCTTACACCCTCAAGGCCCCCAAGAAAACATATACTTTCTCATAACCCCCAACACCCGCGAATCCCAAAGCCTCGTGACCCTACAACCCTGAAGCCTTAGTTACGCCTAAACCCTCTCTCGCCCTGGACCCTAATTACCCTAAACCCTGAACCCCGAATTACCCTAATTACCCCCTAAAAACCCTAAACCCGTAAATCCCTACACCCTAAAACCACTTGATGCTCTGCCAAGGCCGCTTTCAAAAGAGGTCCCGAGGCCCCAAGCCGGGCCCGCCGGCAAAGAGGGGAGGCCCTGCCCAAAGTCAGTTACTCGGTTACTACCGGCGGGGGGGGGGGGGGGGGGGTGGGGGTTTCAGGTCTGGGGTTTGGGGTTTAGGGTTTGGGATTTGGGGTTCAGGGTTTGGGTAGCACTATGACACACCAATAACGTATACCCTTTTCAGGACCTATATTACTATAGATATGGAGATCATGATTAAGAGCCTGGAAGAGCCAGGTTTTATGGGGTTCAGGTAGGGGTTGAGGGATGGAGATCTCTTGACGGTGTTATGGGGCTTCAGTAAAGCGATCAGAACGTGAGGGGAGCTTGAGCAGGTTTGTATGAAACTGTATCCTACCTACAACGTCCGACCTTCAATCATTGCTGGGGATGGGGATGCAACGAATCAGGGAAGCGAAATGGAACTCCCATGCCGTGAACTCTGGAGCCCATCCCTGTAGAGTTTAGGGGTTTGGGATTTAGGAGTCAGCTGTTTAGGGTTTAGGCGTTGGGGTCGCGACAACACTGAAGTTGACACAACTTGACTTCGTAAAAATTGCTGCCATTGCCGGTGATCCTTGACAAGTAGAAGTTGGATGTGCGAGGCATGCGTAGACATGTATAGTTTGTATAAGAGAATAAAAACACATACGTACATGTAGGCATATACATATGTGCGGGTGCGCACACAGACAGACAAAAACACGCGTTCAACCGTTCTGTGGAACCTGGCGAGGAGAGAAAGCCCGCCCCTGGAGTAATGTAGGGCCTTAACAACTAGAATATAATGAACCCTGAGGAATAATGCTGGTAATTATTTATGCTGATGGCAAGTGACACCTCCCGACGAGCTCTCTTTTCCCATCCCAGATGCCTGAGGAGATCCAAAATGGTAGAACCCATAATTTGGGACCCTAGGGGTCTACTTTCTAGACCCTTTCGGGGGTTCTGGGATGTTCAAGCGCAGCATATCCATAGTACCAGTATCAAAGCTTTGCGAAAGGCTCGGCAGTGCACGACTACGCTTTCATCGACCTAGAGCCACGTAGACTCTACGTAAAATCCTTAAACTCTAGACCCAGCCCTGCGACCGCAAAACCCATAGCTTTCAAACCCGAAAGATTTCGGCACACCCTAAACGCCTGAATTCCCTGAAACCCCAAAAGCACCCGTAATAGACAAACAACAGAAAGCCCTCCCCCAAAACCACCAAAAACTCCCTAAAACTCGAAGGCCGCAAACCCTAAACACTAAACTCGAAGGCCCTAAACCATAAATCCTCTACCCCAAACCCCAAACTCGAAGGCCCCAAATCTCCAACCAACAATCAGCCCCAGGTCCTCCTCCTCGTCACCCAGGGATGTGGGGCCCTCGTAAGAACAGGGCTTCAGGACGGGAGTTCGGGCATGTTCTAGGTTTAGGGTTGAGGGTTTAGTAATTTTGGAACTACAGGGCTTTAGGGTTTGGGGCTGTTTCAGGGCTTGTGGCTTTTGGGGTTTCAGGGTTCACAGTTTCAGCCCAAGTCCCAAACCCTAAGCCGAAAATCCCAAACTCCACAACCCAAGGCCCAAACCCTAAACCCCGAAATCCTTCACCCTCTAAAGCTGCGGCAATGAAGCTTCCGGAGCCCGAGAGTTTCGGCTTTTACTCACCTTAAAAGCGAGGCTTTACGGCTTCGGTTGGGGGCTTTATGGGGTTGAGGGTCTAGGGTTTCATGGTTTTAGGTGCCGATGGTTTAAGGGTTTAAGGTGCTCAGGGTTCTTTTGGGTTTCGGGATTAAATTTAGGATTTAGGATCTACAAACCCATCCAAAGGTGTGATACTCTCGCGCGGTTTCTATTTTCTGGGGCCTTGGAAGGGGCCTAAGCTTTCGTGCGGGGCTCAGTGGCCTCTAAATGTGTTTTCTCCTTCATCCCAAAACCCGAACTGCAGTTTTCTGGGTTCTTGTTAAGGGATTTAACTTAAGTTTCCATAATAACGAAACCATACTGTTTACAACTATTTACTATAGATCCCCATTCTGGAAATCCCCTAACAAGAACCCAGTTTTTCGGAAGATGATTCAAAGCTATGAAGGACTACCTTATAGTCTCCATTGTGGCTCCTTTCATTGGTTATCCAACTTTAGGCTTAGGTTTCTCTAGGGTAACTAACCAAAAACAGGAACTAGAATGGAGACTCTAGGTACTGTGTAGGTCTCCCTTGCAACCTGCAGCTGACGATGGCTGTGTTGCTGCAGCCCCAAGAAAAAAAGCGCAGTAGCTACGTTCGTTCAACTGCAACAGGTGCATAATGTAGGTTCCTGAATCATTAGAATAGGGCTTCGGGCTCCTTTATAGCGTCACCACAATAAGGAACCCTAAGGCATAACATTCGTCCTGCTCCTTAATAGTGTCACTGCAATAAGGAACCCTAAGGAATAGCCTTCGTCATTGTTTCGGCTTCTATATTTGCCACTCAACCCTTTCGTGTGCACCTTCCGCCTGAAGTCGCTTCCCTCCAGCCTTGAAGCCTTAAGTTCGCTGCTTTGCCAGACTCATTTCCCCAGGGACTCACGTTCCTAGATTCCTAGATGGTATAACATAGGGTTTATTGTTCTTTTAGGGTTTAAGGGCCCATGTACCCACATAGTATTATATACTTTAGCCCCACTAAAGCTATGTAGGGACGACTTAGTAAGGCCAAAGTAATATATGAACCTACACCCTAAGCCCTAAGCCCTATTTAGGCACTTGCATCCTCAGGGTTCCCGGTGGATCTACCACACAATTCCATACGGGTAGTTCTCTAAAATCAGGGTCCCTTTTGGGATCCCTTTTATAAAGGTGCCGTACCATATTGGGAACCTAACAAAGGGAACCCTAATTTCGAGAGCTACCCAGAGGAACCCTGAAGTTTCAAAACGTGGGCGCGCCTCTAAGCTGTTGTCTCCCCAGAGATTGTCTGCTTCGTGTCGGGCCTCTGGGCTTCAGTGGAGTTGCGCGCATCGCTTAAAGTGCTTACGAAGGAAACGTAGTTTGGGTCATGACCACAAACTCCTGAATCCCAGAAAAATCCCTAAACCCTAAGCACTCAAACTTTCACTTGTTCGGCAGAGGGCAGTGTCCCTGCAAGGGGGTAGGATGCCAAGGTTCATGTAGATGCCTTCTCCCTTGGCTTTCGGAAGTCGGTAATGTGGTGGGTGTAAACAGTTATATGATGTTCTTCCAAAGGGTCTCCGAATACATTCAGTGGTAACAACGCACCCCAAACCCTAGTCTAGCTATGCAGACAGGAGGCCAAGCCCGTACAGAAACCAACTGCAGAACCCTACAGTGGAAACCTGTCACAGAACCTATAAGCGCCACTAAAATTAGACACACGAAGCCCTTGGACAACCCAGTCGAACCCCAATTCATCCTCATATATCCTTATGAATATAACGAAAAGCCCTGGTGAAGCTCCTAACGGTGCCATGAAACCCTGCAAAAGCGCGAAAATAACTCCGACAGAACCCTCGTAAATCCATCCGTGAAGAGAGTGCAGATGCTGGGGATGCTCGGTCGTAGGGCATGGGATGCTCGGGCTATCCAGAGACTGCGGCGCCCCTTGCCAAGGGTAGGTACCTTTACATCGTCTAGGGATTTGGGATAAATAAAGAAGCTACCTTAAACCCTAAACTCTCAACCTTAAACCCTAAACCGAAAGAAGCCTCCTTTAAATCGTATGTAGGGTTCAGGGTTCAGAGTTTGGGGACGAAGGATCTCTCTGTGCTTAGGGTTTACAGGTTTAGGGCTGGGCTCTCGGGAAATTTTTGGGGGTTTCTTAAGGGTTCCTGTAAGGGGGTCCTTTTGAGGTTCTAGAAGGATTTAGCATGAAGGTGGTGTTGGGTTTAGGATCTTTTTAGAGATGTTGGGTAGGGATGCCGGGTTGCGGGTTTAGGGCTTGGGGATTTCACTTTTGGGGTGTCTGGGGCTTGTGGTTCTGGGTTAGGCGTGAAGTTCTTGCTTCAACATCCACTCGGACGTTGAGGGCCTGCTCCAGCAGATCCTTCTCGGCCGCATCTTGTGGCGAGCCGGGTTCTTCTGGCACATCCTCCTTTCGACGACTGGTTGGGCCGAGACTTCAACGTTTCGGATTTCAGGGTTGTGGGTTTTGCCTATTCTTTTCACGGTTTAGCGAATTTTTCGGAGTTTTTTTTTGTCGGACTTCCGGTTGAGGGGTTCAGGGATTCAAGGGAGGGTGCGGTGAATAATAAGGCCCAAGGATACGATGCTGAGGGTTTAGCATTTCGTGCATCTGGGTACGG